ATGAGTCTGTGGGGCACAAATATTTACATACAAGTGATTGGCTGCACAAAACCTTCATTAAAGCTTGTAAATGGCCTAAAAACACTCAAACGTCCCCATTTTTCCTCCATGTTTTGTTACAACAGCTGACTTTGTCTCTCAGAGGTCAATCAACAAGACGTAACTGTGGATCATAATAAGCTCCTTGCACAAACAACCTATGGAGTTATTTTTATGACTCAGTCTCATAAATACACATTTTAAAACCGTGTGAGGAAAACACGTGTGCAGGTGTTGTTGTACATTCTAGCTGTTTGGAGGTTGTAAAATCTTGTTTAGGAGGCCTCTCATCCTTAGCGCTCAACAAATCTGCATTATTTGATCTCATTTAGATTTGTTGGTAAGATCAAAATTAAAACTGAAATCCAAATTATGAAACATAAAACGTAAACTACATTGTGGCCTTGTGGAACTGCATTTATTGTTCACCATTTGTTTTCAGAAATCATTTCATGTAGCTTCTATTTATCATTTTTCCTGTTAAAAAGAATATAAATCACAAAGGGAGGTGAGCTTTATTTCTTTTGTTTAGTTTTACAGTAGTTGCGATCAAGAAAGTTTGTTGTCTTTCTGGTCTTTGAGTCAAAGTGAGTGAAGTTTATATTATATTGTGCCGTCATGATTTAATGGTAAGAACAGTGGAGATGCTGGTTTTAATTTCATTCAACATTACTTCTTTGTTTCAGCATTATTACCAGTGTGACTTCTTACTTTTCTCATGTAGTCTTAAGATGGGTCTTAATGATGTCTTGTCTCTTTTTCAATAGGCACCGCATTTATTCTCGTGTTACTGTTGATTTTTTAAAGTGATATCTAGTGGGAGAGAAGAAGAATTTCCTTTAAGTTTAATTAAATTCTATCTTATTTTATCTTACCTAGTCCGTCAAATCAGATTCTACACATTATCCGTAATAATGACGATACAGGAAAATACTATATATAAACCTCTCCTGGGCGGCTGTGGCTCAGGTGGTGGAGCGGGTTGTCCTCTAATCGCAAGGTTGGTGGTTTGATCCCCGCCCCGTTGCTGAACCCGAAGTTGCTCCCAATGGCAGGCAAGCCTCTGTATGAATGTGTGTGTGAATGGGTGAATACGAAAACATTGTAGAGCGCTTTGACTACCACTAAGGTAGAAAAGCGCTAAATAAATACCATCTGCTGTCTGAATATTCAGAGTAAAAACACACTGAACACAACATGCGGTCAAAAAGCTGAACTAGAAGGAGAAAAAGCCCTCTAACTATGAGATAGTGATAAATAAATGTGAACTGGACGGACAGCTTTAAAACTCGCAGTGTTAGATTCTGACTGACTGAACCCACTGGCAGGAACTCTACAAGTGAATAAAGTTCAGGAATGATGCTTAAACACTGTGACTTCAGCCCTGTAATTAGCAAACACGTCAGATCATACTCTTTATACTACATATAATATAATATATTTGGTAGCCACATGATCCTACATGTGTACAGCAAGAATCAGCTGTTAATGAGGAAACAAATCCATAAATAGAACATATTCAGTTGGAACAAGGAGGAAATGATGAGTCGAATACTTACTTTAGATAGACTTCAACTTTCAGGACAGTTTAATTTATGTACATATTGAGGTTTTTTTTTTAGAATAATATGTGTTTGTTACTACCTTACAACCTCCTGATCTTGATAAAGACCATAAAGATGTGTTACATATACTGTATCAGTTTAAGGAAATCTGTAAAAGTCAGTAACTCGACTCGTTCCATGGCTCGATGCTTTTGCCCGCTTCAGTAATCTCATCATTGTGCAGTCCTCTCTAACTTCAGTGAATCACTTGAAGCAAACTCTTGCCAGGCATCCAGCCAATTGTACTTTAAGTTCTAGATCTCATTAGTGTTAGAATAAAAGTATTGGAGCATTAAAAGAGCCTCAGTGAGGAACAGAACAGAACATATCTGTGATGCTGTCCGTCCTAAAAGCTCCTTAACCCTCCTGCATGATCTCTTCCCCTTTTGTTCCAGCTTACGGAGCTTTGAGGCTGTTAAATCGACCTCATTGCTCAGACACAATCAGCATGTTCTAGGTCTTCATTAACTCTGTATGTTGTTTATACAGAGAGCAGCACCCAGTCACAGCAGTTCATGGACTCCCACTTTTTTACCTGACGTTAACTCATTTATGTGTTTGTACTTGAACTCCACTTTCTCCAACAGAAACACACATAAAATCTTTTTGGATTCAATGCATAGACTTTTTAAGAATGTTTATGACTGATAAAGATGTTGTGTGCATCACCTTGAATGAACCGTCTGACCTTTGTGGTTTCTTTGGAAACTTTAGGATCGATGCTACAATCAACACATCCTCATACAAACATGGCAGAATAATAATGACTCCCAAAATGACACATACGAGTGTTTGCAAAAAGAGATAAAATCTGCATGTAGATTTTTATTTTTTTTTAAATTGTCCCTTTATCCCCTAAAATGATTTTCCTGTTGTGGTGAAAGTGCAAAAATTGAGTGTACTGCTCCTTTAGTGTTACTATCGTGCACATTTCGGTAAGTCTGATGACGAAATCCTGTTTTCCGTTTTACATTTGGATGACGCAAATACTTAAATTGGAAAAAATTGGAAGCTTTAAGTTGAATTTCCTGAAAATTAAGTAGCAGCGAACTGATCATTTTATAGGAATCATGTGATTTAATTACATTTAACTGAACCGTGAAGCTGAACCGTTTGGATATTACATGCCGACACTTTATTTGATCCTAGTGGACACTTGTATGACATTTTTCCATATTTTTGTGTTAACTCTTAAGTGATGGTCAAAAAAAGTGTCTTTTGAGGTCACAGTGACCTTTGACCACCAACTTCATCCTTGAGTCGAAGGGAATGTTTGAAACAAGTATTAAAAAATATTCTTAAAATGTTCAGTAGATACACATTCGTGAGAATGAAATATATTATCCTAAGCCTTTTCTGTCTCCTTAAAGGTTTTTAAGACCGAGTGTAACATGATACTGCTACCAGTGGTGCTGTTTTTTAGAGTCTAATTATCCACTGTTGTGTGGAGACTCACTGTGAAATCAGAAGAAAAAAAAAGAGTTGATAGTCATAAAGAACTCCACTACTCACATGAAAATACAATATTTGCTGGACTCAAATGAATAAAGATGCAGGAAAAAGCTAGTTTACATTTTCAGTAAACAGACTTACATAATGTAAAAACATTACACAATGTAAAAACTGTGACAACAAACACGTCTGCGCTCACTTGAGCAGGCTTATCCATAAGGCTGTCTGAAAATACCCCCGACTCCCAGGACCAGCTTTATGAATGACTAGATTAGTGGCACATAAATGTGAGAGAGAAGACAGAGGACTTTCCAAACTACACATCTTCTGAGGAGAAGACAAACACATTGGTTAAGGTAAGAGGTTTTGTTATTTTATGCACATAGAAATGTTTTCTGTTAAGCTGCATGAACAGTTACTGTGGCCTAGTAACATATTTTTTTAGAATTTGATTATCCGTTAACTTTGTTTGTGGAAAAACCTTTATTTTTTGGTTCTTTGTAACTTCTAGATTCTCTTCCATTATTACACTATATTTATTAAATACATAATGATAATATGCTATGATAGGTACGTTTTATATACAGTTGCATACCTTTATTAAACTATTGTGTTGAGATAAGTCAGGTTAAGTGTTTTACAGGCATTTTCTTTTGTATTTGTATATAGTTCTATAACTGTTCTATAAGAATATTTTGAGAGACAGTGTCTAAATATTTGTTTATTTTTGTAGATACAGTGTCATTTTTCTTGTGTTTTATGTTTTTGATGCACTTTGTTGAATTAGTTTTAAAAAAGGACAAGATGCTTGCAGAGTAGGGAGCATTTTAAAAGGTGCTCAAGAAACACAAATATTAACTGCATGAATCCAAATCAAACAGTGAGTTAATGAAGAATTGACTTACATCAAATGTGAAGGTAGAAGGGCACATCGTCAGCAAAAGTGTTGTTCGGTACTCTGACTCCATTATGAATGTATTTGCGTTGCAGTTTGTTGATGGCTGGTAGGCACGTGCAGTGGGCTTCACCTTTGGGTAAGCAGCAACATGTCAAAACTAGAGTCAAAGTAGAGTTATGGGTAAAAAAAAAAAAAGTGACAGTATGCAGTGTTATACTCACCCAAAGCTGAACCAATTTAAGCAAATTCTGACAAACTTTGGGCACAAAAATTTGAAATGGAATAGCATCACTTCAGAGTTTTAACACCGTCTGTTTGGTCTGGCCTGCTGCATGTGCCTTGGTGGGAGAAACAAGGATAAAGAAAGACTTCAAAAACATCCCTATCTATTATGGAGAGAGCTATAGATGTTTCTATTAACTGCTTTGAAGTAAATAAAGTAAACTGCGTAGGGTCATCAGAAGGAGGCAGTATAAGCTACGTCACACACGGCTGCAACAGAGCAGAAAAACTCGAAAACAAAGCCGGCTGTTTGACTGCCACAGAAAAAAAACAAAGTGTTGACCATTTACATGACAAAAATGGACAAACGTCTTGAACAGTTTTTCAATTGGGCAAGTTGGGCAAAGATAATTAAACAGAAACAGCTGATCAATAATCTCAGTTACATGTTCACTACGTCAGAACTCATTCAGAAAAGGTGTTTCCGTTTCCACTCAGATATTACCTCACAGGAAAGTAAAAACGGTCTTGTGAAGTTGAGATCTACTTGTTTAATTGTACCATTTCCCCATTAACTTTTTCTAATGCGTTACTTCAAAATGTAAATAAAAATGCATTACAGTCTTTAAGACACATAAAAAACTGAGTCGCATAGGATGTTAGCAGCATACTGAGGCCTTTACAGAGGTCTTTACACTATGCATGGATAAATATAGCATTTATCTCAGTCCAAAGGGTGTGGCAGTCAAAGCCCACTCATCTGTTTTGTTCTTTACTCTGTAGAAATGAACGCAGCAGCAGCAGCAGCTCCCGGAGGCTCCAAGGCAGCTCCTCCTAAGTTCAAGCAGAAGGAGACCAGGCAGTTCAAGAGCAAGGCTCCTAAAGCTGGACAGAAGGGGTGAGACACACTCACTCAATTAAAAACAACATAAAGATGTGCAAGACTATCAAAAAAAATATACAAGAATATTATGTGACATTGATTGTATATTTACTTGCAACAGGTTTGACAATGATGTACCGGGCATGGACGGTCTTGGAGGTTAGCATGCTTATTTTCTTGACTTTAAATGTATTTATTTGTAAAGTCTAATTATTTTTGTCATATAGTTTTCACTCTATTGTAAACTTGATTCATTTTTTTTTAAATTCTGTGACTTACCTAATTGAGTCAACCTGTGCTCCTTTCCTACAGACTCTGCAGTCATCTGCCCCTGGGAGGCGTTTGGAGACATGGAGCTCAGTGATCTGGCTCAGTTCGGCATCGTCTAGAACACTTTGACCAGAACTACACCTTTATACATGTTCTCCTGAGGTGGCATCAAATATGATTCTGTACAAATAATCATGTATGGTTTCAATTTAAGATTGATATTCCTGCATTTCAATCTTAAATCTGAGAATTTTGTCAATGAGTAGGCATACATTTTTGTTGTTATATTTTATGATGTATTTTTTGTTGACTTTGGGATCTTACTGTCATGAATTGGCATGAATTGATGGAGGAATTACAGAGGTGACTGGGGAGGTGAAATGTTTTGCAGAATATGCTTATAAAACAAGGATGATTAATGAAAGTGTAGAAGTTTGTAGAATAACAGGCAACAATCTGGCGGTGAAAATCAATTTTTTTGCCTTGTTATTGTGTCTGTAAGGTGTTTTTTAACTACTAGAATAATGAATAATGTAATATGTCAGCCTACTTTAGTTGAATTATTCCACAGTTCAGGGCTGACAGTTTGATTTTTATCTGTAACTGTGTTCATCTGATCTTTGATATCTCTTTTATGTATGAAAAAAAAAGTCTGTCCATTTATTTATGTAACAATGAAAAAAACACAAATAAAATGTTGGAACAGCTTTCTGGATCCTGTTTAAATGTGCATATTTGAGTCAACCGCATCACATCCACTGCCAATATTTCAGACACAATGAGCTGAAAAAATATTTTAACATTTAAATCGACCTCTTGAAAGTCACGTTAGATCTACAATAAACTTTTAGTGGAAGAAATGATCAGAAACAGTACAGGAGGACGCAGAATGATGCTTCGCTATGAGTAGCAGGATTATTTTCATTTGGAAGTGCAAACATTTGTCAAAATGCTGAAAAGAATAAAGAAAAATTTGAATTAGAGTGGTTAGCACTGTCGCCTCACAGCAAGAAGGTTGCCGGTTCGCATCCCGGTGAGGACACCCAGGATCTTTCTGCGTGGAGTTTGCATGTTCTCCCCGTGCAGCCCTGTTCTCCAGCTTCCTCCCACACAGTCCAAAACCATGTTGAGGTTAATTGGTGATTCTAAATTGTCTGTAGGTGTGAATGTGAGTGTGCTTGGTTGTCTGTTTTTAAGTGTAGCCCTGTGATAGACTGGTGACCTGTCCAGGGTGAACCCTGCCTTCACCCTAAGTCAGCTGGGATAGACTCCAGCCCCCCATGACCCTAGTGAGGATTAAGCGGTGTATAGATAATGGATGGATGGATGACCTGTTCAGATTCTGAATTTACAGTGTTTGAAGCAGTTTGTGTTGGGATCCACCAGATGTCACTCTCATATCAGCTTGACCTAATGTTGCTGAGCACTACAGTATTGATTGTAATAGCTTTAACAAATAACATAGCAGTAAATAATTCGACAATGACATGGCAGCTTTGTGGATGGTATGAGGATGATGAAGCAGCAGCAGTGAATGAGTTCATACACAGCAACATGGTAGTTTCTCATCTTTTCTGTCAACTACTGACACAAATACTTGTTGGCTCACTTTGTGCTGCACACTGAGTCCAACAAACACAATGCTTTCAATCTGTTTTAGTTTTTCAAGAGTAAAAATGATTAGTGAATGTTAGAGACCAAGATGACGGCGTGCATGTATGCAGCGATTTTATTTAGCAGCTTTTTTGTTTTGGACATATGTCTTATCTTTTTATTTTCCTGCTGCTGATTGTTGAGTTACCACACAAGTTTCTATCTATCTATCTATCTATCTATCTATCTATCTATCTATCTATCTATCTATCTATCTATCTATCTATCTATCTATCTATCTATCTAGAGGGTTAAGTCATAGTGAGTGCTTTTTTTTTCTTTTTCTTTTTTTACCACAAACTACAGCAGCGCGTCTATTTTAAAAATTTAAAACAAGCAAAGATCTGTGTTATATAAGTTTATGATTTGGTTTCACAGAAGTGAAACTTGTCTGTAAGAGGAACAACTGGCTGACTTTGTATTTTCATGTCTGGTTAACTTCCTCTAATCTTGTCTCATCGTTAATCCTACAGTATTCAGCATTATTAAATAGTTTTGATCTTGTATGGTCACGTATTCCTTTGTGTTTTTTTCATTCTAAGTGTGTCTGCATTGATGGTATTCACCTTGGCACTATTAAAAACAATAACTAATGTGTTTGTTGAAGTTTCAAATACAATAATCAAATGAAATGAGATTAACATAGTTCGTGTTTAAATGATTGCAGCATAGGTGACTCAATTTTGTTGAATGTTGGAAACATAAAAAAAACATTATAAAGATCTGGCTACATATATTATTGTGTGACCTGTGCATAGTCAGGAGCTGTGCATGAGGAAAATACTTGTAAATTTATATTTTTTAAGGTCATAGTGGTTTTTATTTTCAACTCAGCTGCAATCTGCACTCTGCAAGAAATAATATGGACTGTAAGTGTTTTACTGTGCTCACTGAATGAAGAGACAGCGCTGAATAATGTTACTGAAATATACTTTATTATAAGATATAGAGCATTTATCACGTAAATAGAACTCTATAGATAGATAGAGAGACAGATAAAGAGAGATAGAGAGATCACACTACATTATTTACAGGTGATTTGGTAATATATTTGTGATGATCTACCCAGTTTTAGATGAAATTACTGGCCAGTCGAGCCAAAGCTGAATCCCAAGCAGTGGTACAGTGTGCTACACTTTTACACAAATGCCAGGTTACAAAGGACAACAAGGCCTGAACAGAGACTTCCTTAGATGTAATCAAGGATAATAATAAAGCTCAGAGAAAGACTTCCAGGTTGGTGACGTGCAGTGGTCCAGGACAAGAGAAGAGTCATTCTTGGGGACTGCGGTCCAAGAGCTTCTTCCTCCACTCATCAGTCGTCCGGAAATGAAACCCACAAAGGCTCATATCCACACTTGAAATGAGGAGAGCGTTAAAAAAAAAAAACAGGAAAAGCTGCTGGATTGCAGCCACCAGGAATAACCGGTTTGCAGCCAGTCGGTCTAGACGATGCCAAACTGGGCCAGGTCGCTCAACTCCATGTCGCCGAACTCCTCCCAGGGGCAGACGACCAGATTATCTGCAGGAAGAGGAAGCACAAGTTAGGAGTCAACGCCATGTCAACTAACATCTACAGTGTCAGATACTGTTGTGATAGTTACCTCCAAGGCCGTCCATCCCGGGAACATCATCGACTCTGAGGAGAGGACAAAGAGATGAGTCAGATCTACTACCTCCAACAGTTTTGATGAACCTTTCGTCATCTCTACAGACTCACCCCTTCTGTCCAGCTTTAGGAGCCTTGCTCTTGAACTGCCTGGTCTCCTTCTGCTTGAACTTGGGGGGAGCGGCCTTGGAGCCTCCGGGAGCTGCTGCTGCTGCTGCGTTCATTTCTGTTAAAACAACAAAAAAGATCCTTCATAGTTTCAGGCTACAATCCCGATCCCCCTCCTCAACTAATCCCCTTAACCTAACAGCATTACTGCAAAGCTTTGGCACCTACAATTAGTCATAGTTAGGTGATTATGCCTAAGTTTGAGCTGTCGGTAATGTCTGTTATGTGACCAGCTAAAGATGCTCTAATAATAAATAATGCTTCGCTCTTGCGTTGGACTGACATGAGAAGATGAACGTCGCCGTGTCGTCTGAGCATTAGGTGTAAAGAGTTAAGACGACATGCATCTTATTTGTTTAATCCTTACAGACATGATCTTCTGAATATCTTCCACAATGCTGAGCAGTGCCAAAGTTGTTGGAAGATACATTCAGAATGGTAAAATATCTTTCTAGAGCTGATATGCAGAGTAGCAGGAAAAATTAGTGTCTAGACGCTGTACAAATGTAAATATTTAAGATATCTAACGTGCATGAAGCCTTATTTTTTTTAATGGTAATGCCAGTTGGCACTTGGAAAAATCAGGTTTCTTAAATTTGTTGAAAGATATTCAATTTTGTTTTTAATTTCTTTACGATTGATACTGCAGAGAAGACATTTCTGAGTTCTCTCTACTTCTAGCCATAGTTGTGCTGTTTCCATAGAGGTGAAGGACCTTATATTTCACAGAAAAATGCGTCAACAGTGAGTAAAAATGTGACAGGAGCAAAAAAAAAAAACAAAAGCTACCAAATGCTCTCAGAAAATACTACCAATGGCATAAAATATTTGGAATAACGTTTGATCTGACGCATCTAATCTAAGAAACAACAATAAATGTGAATCTGTTTCTTTGGCTTGAAACTTCCCAAACAAAAGTGTTATTATCTAACTTAACTGTTCTAAACATTGGTGATCCTGTTACTATACATGTTGCAGAAAACATGTTCTAGGAATTAAAAAAACAAATAAAAATGCATGTTTCACAAAAACTACAACATTTTACCATCTCAAAAGAAGAAGAAAAAAGCTTTTTACATATGCACAAGAAAGCATAAACGACTCGTTACAGTCTGAATGGACTTTTGAAACTGACTTCAGCTACAGTGTGTGCTGGTGTTCGCTGAGATTCTCACCTGCTGTGGTTCGGAGGGTCGGCGAAAAGAAGTTGCCTGGAAGAACTGAGCAAAGGAAGACGTGCAAAACAAAGAGGGGTTTCTCTTTCTTTCTGCAGTCTCTCTGTCCTGTTGTTTTCCCCCTCCGCTGGCAGCGTTTATATACCTGCTGTGGTCGCAGACAAAGCTGCTAATGGAGCTTGAGATGGGATATTTTCAGGGGATAATCTTATGACCGTGAGAACAGCTCGTACAGGACTCTGTGATTCAGCTCAGGTCTGTTGGCACTGAAGCACACTGATTCATCACACGCTCATCAGTGAGGTTACTAAAGTGGCTTTTGAATTTTTTTAAAAGGAAATACAGCATCTTATTTGGAAACAAAAATACAAACCACATGCAAAAAGAACAATACATAAAAAATACACTACAATACACAAATACAGGCCTCTTGTTCACCCTCTCCAACCCACATCACAGGACTTCAACTATTGTCAAGAAAAAATAACTTATAATAGATGATGCATGCAAGCAGTGTCATCAGCATAAAAACGGAACTTTAAACTTTGATTTTTTTAGATTATTTGCAGCACAAAAAAATGAAATATTTAAAGTACATGCACGCTAATGGCACAAACAGGTTGATTTCAGATGAGAAAAAATGAACCTGAAACAGGAAAAAGAGGTAAAAGATCTCCAAAACAAGATGAAGAGTAATTAAATCAAAAGGAGCTCTGTGTTTACATAACCTGCGTCCAACTTTGTTTAAGTTTTTAGAGACAAAGAAAAGAGTTTTCCATATGTTTGAGTGGATATGAAGATCAACGAGGAGCAGAAACTGTTTCAAATAGGAAACAGTTAAAATAAAGCGGATGCAGTGAAATCACCTTCTAGATATAGACTGCAACCAATTAAGTGATTCATTGATGAGTTAAAGGACAGTTCAATACACAGCCACCAGAAAACTAATCTACATAGAGAATTGTGTACAATTACAAGGTCTAAGATAAGTGTCAGAAGTGTTGTTTGCTTTTGACTACGGCAAAGACGCAGCAAATTAAAAATGTTTGCACAGGACACGGGATCGAAAAGTCTTCACAGGTCAATAATTAGATTTTAATGTTGCGTCTTTGTTTTGGGAGCAATGCAATTAGGAGAAAGTTGATCTGCTGTGCTTTCCAAAGGTATTACACTGATTAGAGCCAATTTGATTGGATTAGATCAGATAACAGGCAGATTACAGCACCGCGGAGCACATGGTGGCCAAAGACTGCACCGATGTTCTCCTCATAGCACATGACAAGTGAACAAACAGACATTCAGGTTGTTTTCCTTCTGTGAAAAAAGTGTTGAGATGAAAAAGCAGCAACTTTGTGTTTTAGTTTTTAGGGAGATTTGAGAGCCTTGAGGTTGGTGGCATTGACAGCAGGACAATCTGAGAACAACAGCATCGGTGACAGCAGTATATTTGGAAGATGGTGGCAAGTTATAGATCGGATTACACCTGATACACCTGTTGACCTGAATATTGATGCAGTGCTGTAATCTTGAACTCACAGATCCTGTACGTTCACATCCCTTTGTTACTTAATACAGCATAACTCCAACTGTATCTGTATTTTTTTTTTTAAATCAAGAGAATCACCAAACTAAACCGTGAATTATTGTTTCCACCCCACAGGAATGAAAATATAAAGTCAAATCTCTCTCTTACTGATGGAGTTTGCTGAAATTCTCACATTTTATTGCTGGTAACTGCTGAGATGATGTTCCTCGCTGTAGAACAATTTATTTAAAATCTTTTGGGGATGTTTTTAAATCACAGGCGTCCACAAGCTTTATCTCTAAAGGCCTCAGAGGCCTTGATGAAAGAGGTTTAAAGAAGAAATGTTCCACCTGTCACTGCCTAACTGAATCATGAGCTCTGATTCCAATTTGATGGTTTGGACGGTGTAAGGAATGTAAGTCTGTACTTGCTTTTTCTGTGTGAATATCTCTTGATTTATCGATTCATTCAAATTATGAAAATGGCCACTAAAACTTAACGGGTGAATTAAAAAATAAAAAATACTAAAGAAAAAATGGCACAACTGTACAGGAAATGGCTCCATCTGTGAGGAGCTGTTGTTTTCGCCATATTTTCAGGGGAAAGGTTTGTTTCGCTCCCTTTACGACTAAGCAGGGCAGTCTTGGCTTGGAGTTGGAGGTTCAAGTGGTCCAAAAGGGGTTTCAAGCCTATCGTCTGTGGTTCTGGTGTTCATGAGGAGACGGGAGGCAATAGGGCTGCAAGCTATCCGTGCTTCTTTTTGCATGAACTCAGTGAAATGTGCAAAACTTGGCATAGTCTCCTGATTTATCTCATTCCTTCACACCATCCACTCTGGCAGCTTTTTTCTTTTAGAAGCTTGTGATTTTCCTCACAGTCATTTAGGATACCCAGGCCCTTAACATGAGGAATGGCCACAACACAAATTGAGCTTTGTAGATGTGTAATATATCACAAGATAGCTCAGCAGATAATGTTAGGTAATTTTACCGTATCAACTTTATCCTCTAATTGGCTAACGTCTCTGGCTGCAGCTGTGGTATCCGTATTTTGGGCGTGCAGGACATCAGATGATCTGGGAGGATGATGGAGCGGCAAGTTTTCACTGTAGCAGCCCTCACAGAGAGTCTCTGACCAGTGCAGTCCTTTCATTTCTTTGATCATCATGAAAACTATAAATAAACACAAATACCACTGACTAGTAAATCTTTCAGATGCTACAAATTCAACATTTTTCCACGGTTCAACATTTGCATTAGCACAAAAACAACCCACAGACTTTATGTACATAAAGTGACATTTCAAGTAACTTGTAATATCAGAGAAAATAAAACATGTAAGCATTTTACAGCTTTTAATATTCTCCTAATTTTATAGACTCAAATAACACACACCTCGCTCCGCTCACCAAGGGGTGCAAAACGTAGCTTTGACTGCTTTCTCCATGCTGCTAGCTTGAATCGCGGCACTAAATAGCACACAAATGCGGCACAAAAAAGACACAATGAACGTGGACAAGCTTCAAACTGAGTGAGTTGTAACATGTAACTGTCGCTACATAGCTAATAACAACATCAATATTGCACAACATATCCTATCTTAAGTGACAATGAAACTCAGGCAGGCTAAACACGGGTCAAATTGACGAGGAGAAAACTTGTGGTATTTTTCAATACATGTTCCGGGGCGCATCCTCAAGCCCCAACACATGAATGACAATATGAACGAGTGACCTCAGCAGCTTACAGTTACGTCATCAATGGCAACTCTTTGATGACGTCACATGACGTTGGCGTGGCTATAAATCAAGATTTCGAAACAATAGATAGATGATAGATACATAGAGAGAGGAAAACATTCAGACATTCAGCACTTGTGCAGGATATTTTGCACACAGATGAGTTCTTCAGCCATGCTACGAAGAAGTTTACGGCAACAACAGGCGGGATACTACGGAGAAGATGGGACCCCCACTGTCTCCTACAAGGAGCCTTTGGTCAGGTAAGTTGCTGTAGTGTTTGTTTTCACATGTAGGGTCATTACATGAAAAATCAATCAGGGCCTCCTCGGAATCAGATGATTTTATTATGTACAATAACTGTAGTATGTTTAATGAAATTATGTAAAGTTCTACCTTCATACATATTTTCCAAGTTACAGGCCCTACAAGTACACAGGG